AGTCTGTTTGGTGTTCACGTGGCAGACGGAAACAGACAGGAGCCAACGTGAGGTGACAACAGTTGTTTTTTGTCAGCGCTAGTTGTTTGGCGTCAACTTGATGTGTCTCGGCCTTTAAAAAGCTAATGTGATCCAAAAAAAATGACACAATTCACAATTTAAATAAACATCCAAAGCTTGCAGATTGTCACTTTTACTTAACGGATCAAGGATTTATTTGACATTACCTCATACTTCAGTTTGTCATTAAACTTTCTGACCACTCAAACGCGCTATAACAATGGTGTCATACTCAGTTTCTGGAGGACAACCGCCGTAAAGTGTTAAGTTCCAACCTTGCTTCAACGTATTTTCTATCCATATGCTAAGCAATCATGCAGAATTTGCTAATCTGATCAAATATGCACACGACCTTCACATGACCGTTCACTTTATCTGTCCCTGTGCATCGTCTGCTTGCTTCTACTCTCTCTCTCCAATTTCAGTCTGCTCCCTTTTCCACAGCCCTTCTTATCTTTGGCACATGCTTTCATATGGCCAGCCTGACTCATCTTTTTTCCTTAGGCTGGGCTGACAAAATCCATCCACTCAAGCATGACCGTTCAAGACCGTGTTTGTCAAATATTCAGGAGGTTTGGCCATTTCAGAGCTCGGTGCAATAGCAGGGAGCAGACTCTGTGTGCAAAGAAATTACAGGAGTTCATATAAGGACAGGCGTAACACTCACTGACTGCAGCTCAGAACACTAGACTCTAGATGAACACCAACAGATGGTAAAAATAGGCAACAACATGTTATTGGAAGCTGTTTCAGATGTTTGTGCTCTGAATGTTAATGCTAATGTTAATGCAGTAGCATTTTTGTTATATCTGCCAATGACTAAGGACTTAAGTAAAATTAACAGCTAAAAATGGCTTTATTCACTATGAAACTGTAGCTACATTGTCCTTAATTCAACAAAAAAAAATAATAATAATAATTTGGATTGCAATTAATAGTTACACTCACCGACCACTTTATTAGGTACACCTTACTAGTACCAGGTTTGGCCCCCTTTTGCCTTCAAAACTGCTTTAATCCTTTGTGGCATAGATTCAACAAGGTACTGGAAATATTTCTCAGAGATTTTGATCCATATTCATATGATAGCATCACAAAGTTGCTGCAGATTTGTCTGCTGCACATCCATGATTTGAATTTCCCATTCCACCACATCCCAAAAGTGCTCTACTGGATTGAGATCTGTGGACTGTGGAGGCCATTTACGTACAGTGAACACATTTTCATGTTCAAGAAACCAGTCTGAGATGATTCGCGCTTTCAGAAGATGGGTCTACTGTGGTCATAAAGGGATGGACATGGTTAGCAACAATACAAAGGTAGGCTGTGGCATTGACGCAATGCTTAATTGGTACTAATGGGCCCAAAGTGTGGCAAGACAATAATATTCCCCACAACATTACACCACCACCATCAGTTTGAACCGCTGACACAAGGCAGGATGGATGGATCCATGTTTTTATGTTGTTAATGCCAATTTCTTTCTTTACCATCCAAATGTCACAGCAGAAATCGAGACTCATCACACCAGGCAACGCTTTTCCAATCTTCTGTTGTCCAATTTTGGTGAGCCTGTACGAATTGTAGCCTTAGTTTCTAGTTCTTAGCTGACAGGAGTGGCACCCTATGTGGTTTTCTGCTGCTGTAGCCCATCTTCCTCAAGGTTGGACGTGTTGTGAATTCAGAGATGCTCTTCTGCATACCTCGGTTGTAACAAGTGGTAATTTGAGTTACTGTTGTCTTTTTATCTGCTTAAACCAGTTTGGCCAATCTCCTCTGACCTCTGCTATCAACAAGACATTTGTGCCCACAGAACTGCCGCTCACTGGATATTTCCTCTTTTTTTAGGCCATTCTCTATAAACCTTAAAGATGGTTGTACATGAAAATCCCAGTGGATCAGCAGTTTCTGAAATACTCAGACCAGCCTGTCTGGCCTATCAACCATGCAACGTTCAAAATCACTTAAATCACCTTTCCTTCCCATTCTGATGCTCGGTTGGAACTGCAGCAGATCATCTTGACCATGTCAACATGCCTAAATGCATTGAGCTGCTGCCATGTGATTGGCTAAATAAAAATTTGCGTTAATGATCAGTTACCTAAAAAAAGTGGCCAGTGAGTGTATAATAATAATAATTTAGCTTTTTCATTTACATTTAGCATTTAATAAATAAACAAATGCTAGCACCCTGCAAAGCATTTAATAATAAAAATTAATAAGATAATATTATTTTAGACAATAATAGTAAAATTGATGGTTGTTGTCTTTCTTTCAAAAGTTAAACCAGAGCTTTTATGTTGGCAACAAACCACAGATAAGATGTTTTACTTATGTGTGGTGATAAGCGAGTATGTACGCCCTGTGTGAAACCACTTATGAAGCACTGTTTGTATGAAAATGCAAAAATTGCAACCAAGGACGATGGTTTCCATTTTTACTGACAGCCAAGTCTTATTAAAAGCCAACGGTAGCTGTGAAGTCCCACTTTATGCCTTTTATTATCGCTCATTAAAATAAATGTGCAATGCATTCAGAGGTCACTTATCAAACACTGCCATAGAAAATACAGCTACATTCATTTTGAGGGCATAAATATCCCACAGAGATGACAAAAGGCCATTCTAACTAAATCTGATTGAGCATAATGATGATAATGGCCATGTTAAGTGTACTATCGAGATATAACAGTTACACAGGAGATCACCACTGTGTCAGAATAGACATTAACAAGCCCCAGTGTTAAGAAATAGATGACTGCTATGACTAGAAGCAGTTTTACTGCAGTTCCTACCCAAATATCGAACACATTCTGTGGCTTATTGTCCACTGGATCTTTCTTGGTCTTAAAGGTCAACTTACTGTAATGTCAGTACCATTAAATACTGCAATAAAGGACATAGCGGAATCACGTTTGGCTTGTTTGTAGGTTGACAACAGTTATGAGTGCACAGGTAATTTTGTGGGAATTTTTTCGATTTGAAATGAATTTGCTTGGTTTACCTGAGTCATTCTGGGCAGTTTTACATGCTGCTATCTGTCTGAGTGATAATAACATCTATGGTGTAGCAAACGCTGTGTGGTGATACAGTACAGCATACAATATCATGTCATGAGGAAATTTCTTATTTCTATCCTTTTGAATAATGTAGGAAAAATACACAAAAATGTGCCATCCACCACAAACCAAAGTTATGCATGTTTGTCACTCTTTTAAAAAAAACAAATTTAAACATTAGTTAAACATAACACTAGTAAACAGATTATGCAGTTTGAAATAAAGGTATTTATTATTAAAGAAAAAGAAAATACAAAACTACATAGCCCTGTGTGAAAAAGTGTTTGACCCCTAAACATAATAACTGGTTGGGCCATCCTTAGCAGCAATAACTGCAACCAAGTGTTTTCACTAACTTGGGATTAGTCTGTTATAGCGCTGTTCAGGACTTTTGGCCTACTCATCTTTGCAGAATTGTTGTAATTCAGTCAAAAAGTCATCAAGATGTTTTCTGCCAAACTGAGAAGCCTTTATGTTATTTTTGTCCTGAAGTTGTTTTTATCTTGGGTGAAACACTTGCAAATGTAAACACTTGCTATGGTGACGCCATGAACACTAACTTTGGCTGAGGCAAGTGTGGCCTGCAGTTCTTTGGATGATGTTATTGGGTCTTTTAAGACCTCTTGGATGAGTTGCATCGATACACTCTTTGGGTTATTTTGGTAGGCTGGCCACTACTGGTTAGGTTCTTCACTGTTCCATGTTTTTGAAGCTAATGGCTTTTACTGTGGTTTGCTGCAGTCCCAACGATTTAGAAATGGCTTTTGTAACCTTATTTTAAACTGGTCTTAATAGTTTTCTTGGAACTTCGGCATGATTCTGTGGCAAACACTTTTTCACACTGGGTTATGTAGTTTTGGAATTGGTTTATTTCCCTTAATAATAAAAACATTAATTCAAACTGCATGATGTGTTTATTTGTTTTATTTTTAACAAAAAATAATTTGTTTGATAATCTGAAACATTAAAATGCAAAAACAAAACAAAAAAAAAGAAAAAAAATTAGTAAGGTGGCAAACACTTTATCACACCACTGTGCATATATTATATCAACAGAATATCTCAAATGCATTTCACCCTTATGCCCTTAGCTTATTCTTAAAATAAAAACTCAAAATATGCTGTCAGAAAGAAAAATTATCAAAAAAAAAATAGATAAAAGTGTTAACGTCACTAACAATAACATTTCTAACACTTTTTAGTGAAATATAAACTGGTGCAAAAACAAAATAAAACTGATGCTGCAGAATGTGTTCATTAAATCCCTTTTTTAAATGAGGTGAATCTACAAAAAAAGATTACTATTTCACTCATCGCTCATTTAACATATTGTGATAAAACAGCTTTGAAACAGGAGATAAAAATACTAATTAGAAAGAGTTTGTAATTAAGTATAGTCTAAGACAGATCATCTGCCATAACTAAAAAGCATTAACCCTCATTGCAGATATGAGGTTATTTCGACGTAATAAACAAGACCTAAAGCTTTATAGACTTTTACAATAAAAATAAACTGAAAAGTTAATATTAATGTTGAGTGATTTGTGAAATGTTGATGAGGGAAAGCATGATGGATTTGATCACAAGGTCATCATGGGACATAAACACACTTCACATGTGAGTGTATGAAAACCATGAGGGTGAAGTTGATGAATAAGCACACATGGGGGAAACAAGCAATCTTTTTATTTAAAAGACAGAAGTTTTCACTGAGGATAAAACACTGAAAACTAAATTAGAAAAATAAAACATTTTATATTTTCAATTCAAGGTCTAAATGACCTCTATTCTATTGTGACTACATGTTATACACTTTGAAAAACACAATCTACCAAGTAAACACTAAAGGATCGTCTGTGGTAATAACGCAAAGTAAAGGTACCTGCTCCTTTTCTTATTTTTGTCGAGCTGGTTAATCCCTCTTTCTTCCTTTTCAGAGGGAGAATGACTGGAAACCACTTCTCTGGGATGTCTTTCGGGATAGTCATGTTGTCCCACTGTCGTTTCATTTACATAGCTCTGCGCAAACAGAAATCGGCGGAGCGGCGGAAAGGCGCGCGCGCGGCAGCTGCAGAATGAAAGACTTCAAATGACCGACGCAGCGGTAAAACCAACTTCACTCCTTCTCACCCTTCTGATCTGCCGCAGAGTCGTTGAGTTCATTCAGGGTAAACCAGATTTTATAAAACAGTTTTTGATAGAGCACATTTTGAATAAGGTACGGCTGTTATAGCGCCTTCAGTTGAACTTGAGAAACTTTCTTCCAGACGTCACTGCGTGTTTGTTTTTCAATTCTGACAAACCAATATAGTTTGAATCTCCTAAACACGCAAATAATAATTGACATATAACTAAATCCTCAGAAATATCGATTTCTGACAGGACTGACTACGATTATGACAGTGGCACTGTCACCAGACACTGTCAAAACACTGAGAGGCGCCACTACGACGTTGTTTTTATATGACATAATCAGAAAGTCTTTCTATTGGCTGATGAGATGGCCAATAGAAACTGAGTGATGAGGTTGCCAGGGCGACTTACACTGCAGAGATGTGAAAGATGGATGGCTTTAAGGACACGAGAAGCCCATACTGGCTCCTCTGGCACTGAATGTCCATACGGTAATGAGATTTTGAGCCAAAATGGCTCCTGATAAATAGGCAGTTTCATAAGTTAGGGCAAGGAGGGGGTAAGAAATGGTGGCACTGCGGAAGACATCTGGATTAGTCAGGTGTTGGTACACGTGCTACATCTGTTACAGAGTCTCAGAACATGTGCAGAGAGCGAGAGAGAGAAAAAGGGAGAGGGAGAGAGAGAGAGAGAGAGATAGAGAGAGACAGAGAGAGAAGTCTCGTGCCAAGGAGAGAAAACTCTTGACTGCTAAACACAATGCTTCAGCATATATGCACTCACGTGTATGTGTTTAACTTTGGTGTTGTGCTAGTGAATGCACAAGCATAAGATTCATGCTTTAGAATGGTATAACACCAACAGTTATTAAAACAACAATATTTTAAAAATTATTTAATACTAATTTAATTGAAACAAAAACATCTAAAATTGTATTTTAAAGTGATTTTTTTCTAAAAAATTTTTTTACAAATCAAAAAAAGAAAGATATAAAATGATAGCTAAAACAAACAATTCTCTCTGATCAAATGCCAAAACAAAAAGGTAAGATTTTAACCTAGATTTATAAACATACAGAGTTGAAATAGATCTAATACGGAGGGGCAGAGCACTCGACAATGTAGGACCAGCTACTGCGAAAGTACGGTCACCTCTGCATTTCATCCTAGACTTAGGGATGAATAATAGTCTCTGGTTTGATGACTGAAGAAACCGACTAGGCTGATGTTCAATCAACATGTCTGACAGATAATAAGAAGCTAAACCATTTTAAAACCAAGAGAAGAATTTTAAAAGTGACATGATAGTGCACAGTGATAGTGGTCATATTTTTGGTACCGGTTAAAAGCCTTGCAGCAGCATTGTGAACTAAATGTAAACGGGAAAGAGTACTCTAACTAATCCCAAACTAGTGAGTTATATTAGTCCAACCTAGAAGTAATAAAAGCATGGATTATAAACCATTTGTAATGTAATTCAGGGTGACATAGTGGCTCAGTGGTTAGCACTGTCACCTCAGAGCAAGAAGGTCGTTTGTTTAAGTCCTGGCTGGGTCAGTTGGCATTTCAGTGTGAAGTTTGCATGTTTTCTCTGGGTGCTCCGGTTTTCCCCACAATCCAAAGACATGCACTACAGGTGAATTAAATAAACTAAATTGTCCGTAGTGTATGTGTGTGAATGAGTGTGCATGGATATTTCTTTGTAATGGGTTGCAGCTGGAAGGGCATCTACTGTGTAAAAACATATGCTGGATAAGTTGGCGGTTCATTCCGCTGTGGCGACCCCTGATAAAACGATGAATAAAGGGACTAAGTCGAAGGAAAATGAATGAATGTGATTCAAATGAAAATATACACTTGTAAAAAGAAGAGTGAAGGCCTCATGACTGTAAGGAATGACTGTACACATTTGCAAATTGCAAATTAGCCATCAACTTAACCAAGGTAAAAATAAAAAAATAATTATAACACTAAAATAAAGAATAATAATTAGACAATCAAAGTGAAAGTGTAGACTCTTTTGAAAATGAATATTAATATGATTTCCCTGGCACATTAAGAATAAAAAGGCTGTATGTGTTTGAAATTCAGAGCACAACATCACAATTAAATTTAATAGTGTGTGTTTTTGTAGAGAGAGTAGCTAATTGTTTACCTGGAGGAGGTCTCTTTCTGAACATTTCCACACCTCTGGAATTTTGCCGCTCCGTCCCATGGGAAAATCTACACCAACAAACACAGACACACACACACACACACACACAGACACACACACACACACACAATGAGAGAGTAAGAGAGAGAGAACTACACTGTCAACAGGATCTCAAGGGTAAAGCAGGGGACAAACCAACAGTTTACGCTCACTCAGGAAAATCAACGATATTTAATCCTTGACAACGACTGTATGCAGATCAGTCAGCTAAAACTAAGCCACTGCTAATGAACCTGTTTCCATAATCTCGATGTCGGACTTTAAGCAAATCATTAAGATAGCAGTCAGTTATTTTGATAATTGATGAGGCAACTGTTTGAGGTGGTTAAACAAGATATTTACTCTAAAATAAGCTGGAAAGAGCACTGTTATTAGGACTTATTGATAGAAGCGGTATGGTTATGTCTGTTCCAGAAGCACATTGATGTCTGGGGGTCTGGTTACCAATACATTTCTCTCTGAAGACGCCACATACTGTCTGCTTTCTGTTTCCTTTGTCTAATGCACAGGGATTATAGAGGCTGATAACGCAGTGCTGAAGTGTTTAAACATTTTATGGAATACGAGGCTGATTCTATTTATTGTTTTTTAAAGTGTTATGATAAAAATCAACTTTTGTAAGCTGTTTGGACAGATGTGTGTGTAAATATTGTGTCTACTGTTAAATTGGAGTGATAGAAACCCAACAAGTTTTTTTTTGCTAAAAATTGTCTGATGTTAAAATAGGGCCCAAATTCCAGTGATTTTGAGGCCCAGCTCAACGTGACATAGGAGTGTGGATTTCCCCCGCACACCGAATTGATTGACTGGTGCCATGTTTTTATAATAACATACAAGTACACAGAACATTATTTTTTCAAATAAACTAAAATTAAAATATCTGTTTCAACTCTCTCTGATTTTTATAAGTTTAAAACGTTTTTAAAACAGAACATGTTTGTAATAAAGACAGTAAAATCGCTATGTAATTCTTGACTGCTATAATCACCAAGGCTGCATGGTGTCAGTAAATGCTAATATATGGCTTTAAATAGGTGCCCTTTAAACTATGATGAAAATGACAAAAATAATACTAATATTTAAAATGCGCAATACAAATATTATAAACATTATTTGTTTATCAAACACAGACAATAACATATTTTGAAGATGTATATCAGCATTTGATAAATGTTGTGATACTCAAGTTTTCCTAAAGGGATAGTTCATCAAAAAATGAAATTCAATCATTACTTATTTACCCTCATGTGGTTCGTCGTGTTGCGGTGGGCCTCAAAATGGGAAGGATTTGGATCCTATTTTAACATCAGGAAATAAAAAAAAAGACATATTGTCTAATTTAGAGACTTGAATTTCATCATAGGTGCCCTTTAAAGTCACAAACTATCTGACTTATATGTACGATTTAACATTCTTTTTACAAAAGGGTTTAGAGTCATTTTAAATGCTGTGAAAATATTTATCCTCAACTCACTATCACATCTCTTAATTTTACATCCCTGTGGTCGAGTAACATGCCGTTTCTCAAGCAACACTGCAGTGATTTGTTTTTTAGAGCACATTATGACTTTCCCTTAAGGAAATTTCCATCATCTTAAACCTACGAAACAACCTCTGCCTCCCCCACTGAATCTCTGCAGTGAATTACTGATATCTTTCTAATATTGACTTTTATATTTCCTTATCCAACAGAGGTCATCATGCAAAGTCATTGGAGAGATATTTTTCTGTCTCTAAGCTGCCCACAGAACATCACTGCCAATGATCTGTTGCTTTGAATACCCACAATAAATATATGATTTCATTTCATGTAGACAATCAAAGCAATCTGTTCGAGAGCGTGGGAAGAGTTGAGTAGGAGGGGGCCACCTATGGGTTGAGAACAGAAAAAAAGTGAAAACTATTGGCTGCAGCAGGTAAAATAATCACACAAACAGACACACACACACACACGCAAACAACAAAACCGAAGATGGTAGAATCCAAAGATTTAAAAAGAATTAAGAAATTTTATGCATACATTTAGTCGTACAGTACATTTACACAACAAATCTTGGGAACCAAATTTTGGGAATGAAAACTTTGGAAAACAAATTTCCGTTTTTCCAGCCATCAGTGGCAGACTTAACCAATAAGTGAGGTAAACAGCCACTTAGGGCATCGGGAAATTAGTGAGCCCTAAGAAACCTATATTATTATATAGCTTTTTGATAGATTTTCAGTCATATGTTGTAAAATCTGTCTATAACTATTAAGATTTTACGTTATTACTTGTTTTTAAAACCGTACTGCACATGCCCGAGGCGTGAACAATTCAGAGACACTGCCAGCCTGCCAGCGATCAGATTAGAGCTGAGGGAGAGATGGGTGGAGTGTGCACGAGTGAGAATTTTGAGAAAATTTTGAAAAAGAAAGTAGAAATAAGACAAACAGTGAAACACAGCAACCTCTAAAATCAGATGATGAGCGCTCTCAGCTTGTTAAGAGAGAGAAAGAGAATGTTTTGGGTAGGGCTGCACAATACATCGTTTTAGCATTTATATCGCAATTTGTGTGTCCGCAATAGTCACATTGCAGTATTTGCAATGTTAAGTTGGGATTGTAGTCGATCAACACATGAGAATACATGACGTTCGTGGAGTCATTTTATAGTATAATCATAACAGAGTGAAAATGTATCATTTGCATGTGTTTTAAAGGCATTGAAAAAAAAAGTCTAAAGCATTTGGACACAATACCGTAAAACATTTATAACTTTAATGAAGAAAAATGTACTGATTTATTAATAAAATGAGGAATATACAGTGTTATTTAACATTACATTATTAAATGTCTGTATCTCAATAATGTTTGACTCTCCTGAAAACCATAAAGCACTGTTTATTTTACTTTTTTTTGCTCTACTGTAATTATTCTTGCAAACATTTTTAAATACATGAATCACACCCTTACAAAATCAACCCAACCAATCTAAATTAACGATTTCTTTCAAAAATAGACACTATTTAAGCTATCTGTATTCATATTGCAATATATATCACAGCAAATCACAATATCGCAATGTCAGATTTTTCCAATATCGTGCAGCCCTAGTTTTGGGTTTCAATGCTAGGGCTCCATACCTGAAATTGTTTTCACTAATCACTAAGTCTGTTTCACCTCTGTGTAAACTACAAATTTATGTCATCATTTAACTAAATCACCAGCATTATGTGCATGTATTGCATACTTAGTTTTATTTTTCTCCTAAAGAACAAGAAAGACCATTTACAACTTTAATGTGTCAAGTTCCCACTGTCATTCCCTCACAGCTATTTTTAGTTGTACACAATACAGTGCTTGCTACTGTAAACGTCTTTATCTTTCTACTATAATAATTGAATATATATTTTTTGAAACATACCTGTGCAAGTTCTACTGTATATCTGAAATTCT